TCAAAAAAGTACTCCAGAGTGTTGTTCAGCATGGGGGTGAGTAGAAAATGAAGGCTAATCATGTTTTGGGTGTACTATTCCTTTAATACAACATGATAATATAAATGGAAGATTGGTTGTTTGGATGTAATTGGTGAAAATCACACTGTAGATCTAGAAAGATGTAGAAACTTCCTTCCTTCCCACATCTGCTGTGGTGCTCATCTTATTTCCATATTCCTGAACTAAATGAGGGCTTTGATATTTTCCAAGAATGTCAGATATTGATTAACATTCTTCTTAAACATGTCAGGACCTGTGTGATTGTTTTATTTAATTATTTATACATTTTTTTTAGGGTTTGAGACAAGATCATAGTGGGTTTTAAAGGCAGTCCTGTTCTGAAGCAGAACATGGCGCCATGTGGCGACACTTTAGGAGCGAAAAAGTGTCTGTGAAAGAGTTTCCTGTGACGCAAACACAGCTTCTACCCATGTTAGAATGACTCAGATTTGGCCCATTAACTTTCAGTTTACAGTTTAACACAAGTTGGAGGTGGGAGTCTCCACTTTACTCAGAAAACGCTGTTATAAAATCCAGCCGAAACCAGTGAACTCAGCAAATGGAGCCCACCTGCATGTAGCTCTAATCTCAGTATTAATCTATCTGTTCCCCGAAGGCCTCATTGTGACTAAACAAAAGGTGAAAGGGGGTCACTACAACCCCCTTTATAAAGCAACACCTTATGGAAAACCATGGTGGTGGCAGCATCATAATATGGGAATGCTTTTCTTCATTAAGGACATGAATGCTGGTAAGTGGCAATGAGAATATTAATTAACGAGACGATTCAGAAAGTTCATTGAGAAAATCCTGTAAGACGACTGAAAAGACATGAAACCTGGGAGGAAAAGAAAATAACCTTAATCAGAGACACTAAGTATATTTTTATATGGCGCCAATTCACAGCACACATTATCTCAAGGCACTTTACAGAGACAATGCAGTCAGATTGGTTAAACCAGTTAATTGCATCGAGTCATTCACTCTTCCTGGATGAACCTGCAGCGTCGATTTTCTGTTGCAATTTGTTGTTGTGTTTATTATCCACATGAGATAACTTTTAAAAAAATTCTTTATAGTTTTTTTTTTTATCCTGAGCTGTGATATCATGTGAAATCATTCATCTTCTTAACTAATCTTATCATTTAAATAAAGAGCAATGCATCTCTCCATTAAATAGGAAAAATAAAACACCTGGAGAGAAAATACAAACACAAAAATAAAAAACAAACAAGAAAGTATACTAAATTGGTCAATCAGTTTCTGTCCAAATAGATAAAATTCCTTAAATTAACTATAGATTAACAGTTTCAAATGAAGACTTGACAGAACAGTTAAAAGGTATAAAATCAAACAGTTTCAATACGAA